TTCCTCCTGGATTATGGGGGGGTTATTGTGCCCTCCATCCCCATCATCCAGCTCAGGGGGCTGAATACCCTGCAGATATCTGGACTGGCTATTAAAGACTGAGGCAAAGAAGGCATTAAGTACCTCAGCCTTGTCCTCATCCTTGGAGACAATGTTCCCCACCATATCCAGTAAGGGATGGAGATTCTCCTTGCCTCTCTTTGTTGTTAATATATTTGTAGAAGCATTTTTTATTATCCTTTACAACTGTGGCCAGACTGAGCTCTAGCTGGGCTTTTGCCTTTCTAATTTTGTCCCTGTTTGACCTAACGAGATCCTTGTACTCTCTTCATTGAGTTGCCTGCCCCTTCTTCCAGAGGTGATAAACTCTCCTCTTTTCCCCGAGTCCCAGCAAAATCTCCCTGTTCAGCCAGGCCAGTCGCCTTCCCCGCCAGCTCTTCTTATGGCACATGGGGACTGCCTGCTCCTGCGCCTTTAAGATTTCCTTCTTGAAGACTGTCCAGTCTTCCTAGACACCTCTGTCCTTCAGGACAGTCTCCCAAGGGACTCTCTCAACCAGTGACCTGAACAGGCCAAAGTCTGCCCTCCAGAAGTCCATGGCAGCAGTTTTGCTGACCCCTCTCTGTACCACTACACTGGAAACACTTCTGAAGTGGACGGACTGTGTATGAACATGTATGTCAGGAGTCTATCTCCTTGCTGTTACTAACGCTACTGAGAACCGCAGTCCTTCCCTGGGCACACAGCAATAGGCCTTCCCTCTGTTTTATCTCATTTTTTACCATTTGCTTTTAATTTCCTCACAGGTTTGTTCGGTTTTTAATTTCCTTATGAAGAGCTGCTCTGCTAAACCTGACCGAACACTGGCACCGTGACAGGGCACACAGGTTTTTTCCCCGGTGGTGCTGCCGCAGCAGCCCAGCCCTGCTGCAACTGCAACCCCACAAACAGCAGTGGGCACCGGTCGCATTCAGGCGAATCACGCAAGTCTAATCATCCACCCAGCTTCAAGAAAACAGATACAGCTAACTGCTGTCTACACCAGATCTCACACAAGCCGCTGACAGTAAAAAGGGAGGAAGAAGTGAAATGACATTACGGCAGGTAGTTATTTCACTCCAGCACCTCTCAGCTATGAACTCCACAGCCAATATCAAAGATCAACCCAGCAGGAAGGTTTTGGCATCAAGTCTATGCGTAGTCCCAAAAATCAAGGACTGGACAAGAAACAAGCAAAAGGGTCATCCTGAAGGTTTTTACATCAGTCTCTCCTTCCTACCAGCTTCTCACTGTAATATGCAACTGCAAATTCGGCTAATTGGACTTCTCAATCCCCAGGACTGAGTACAGCTCCCTCGCTCACTAATATCACGAAGAGTCATTTGAAGGTACTTACAGATGAGCTCTGACTCTCAATTCTGAGCAGCAATCAAGCAGGCACCAAGAATTAAAGGCTTCAAGACAAAGGGGTCTCTTTTGCTATTGTTTGTTGTTGTTAAATTAAGCAAACTCAATTAGCCCCTTACATTGCATCCTTCTTATGTTGATCTTTCTTTGGTCTGTCAACCAGGCTTGTCCGGAACTTAGAACCATTTTCAACTAATATTTCATCATTGTGCAACTTCAGCTACAAACAAGCAATTAATGCTAATGAGTTTTCCTTTTTTTGCAGCAGCAGCAGCCACCACCATTAACACCAGTTGACTGGATTTCACTGAAGCATAGAAAGGGCTCATGACTGGAAGAATGATAAATGATTTATGAGCAACAATATTTACTAGTGCATATTTTAGAGTAAGCCAGCTCCATAGGCTTTTCTTGCAAATTTTCTCCAAGAAAATAAAAGAGAAAATTATTTTTAAAAAAATCAACACTAGCTGTGGGTGAGGAAGCCTGGAATATTTAATCAAGGTCCTCACATTCCATTTGTTGCTGTTTACATTTTGCATATTTGAGACACCCAGCTCTGTCAAGTCAACACTCAGCTCTTCCTCCTACAATGCTGTTTTGTATACATTCAAATATTGAGAAATATTGACATATTTGAGATGCAGTTCCATAACATTTATAAGGTGGGTGGGGAGTTTACTTTTTAGCCTAAACTGAGTTTTAAATGCTCTTCAAAGAATCAGGCCTTCTGCTTCTCTTCTCAAGCTCTACTTGGGACATCCAATATGATCTGCCCAGTTCGTATTATTCCTCAAGGAAGCCAGCCAGACAGGCCAAGAATCTATGCAAGTGGAGAGCCACAGAGTCATTAGAAATAACAGCAAAAGAGAAATGGGAACAGTTCTACTTACTCTGAAAACCCATAGTTTTACAAGCTTATCGGATACATAGCTCTTACCTTGCTTACGAACATCTTCCACAGCTGCTACCAGCTCTTCTTTAAGGAACTGGCTCTCTTTTGCAATTTTGTCTCCTTTCTCCAGGAAATTCTCTGTTGCTTGTTCAACTGAAGCAGCCAAAACATGGGCCTTTTTAGAACGTCCTCGCTTTTTATTAGAGGGGCCTTTGTTGCTAGTGTTAACCAGTGTTGTTACCTAAAGGCATAGATGGAGGGGGAAAAAACAAAAAAACCATGAAACCAATTATAACTGTAATCAATTTGACAGCAAGACCACGTGTATTTTTTTCTAGACAGCATACCACTAATACCTGCACTATTGCCAGCTCCAGGTGTTTAATCACATCTCTTTAAACATTACCATGATTCTTGATTCCTTAGATAAGCATTATAAATTCAGCTAAACTGCTTAGAGATTTTTTTTTTTTTAGCAGCAGCCCTGAAAATTTGATTTTTGAGATCTAGTTGTATTTTTGATAAACTGCAATCTCAGTAACAGGCCGGAGCTATTTGGCACCACATAAAAAGAAAACAAGTTGGGGATAATTAGTTTGGGATAGCTTTCCAGGCATAAAAGACCCAAAACAAGGTTGAAGCCATTATCTACAGAAATCTAGCAGCACAGTATCTTTTTGGTCCAAAACAGTACTACAGCCGAAGGACTAAATGCAGAGCAAGGGACTTCCTAGACCTCATTATTTCCCTAAAACAACAAAAACTGAACTCTCACAACCCTCCTGCAATCAACAAATATTTTCAAATTTTACGTTTTAGGCTGAAACCCTGCTAGGAGCTGGTCACCAGCAGCCAGATAACCACCAGGTACTCTGTTAGCTCAGGATCAGAATCCATCCCCTTCAATCAAACACATATAGATGCCACACACACTTTTCCAGTTGCCTTCCCCCACCCCCCTTTTTCGTTAATTCTAGGAAAATGCATACAAAGCTACTTCAGAGAAACATTAAATTACAACAGTAAAAATATTACTACTCTGGAATGCCCAAGGACTGCTGACATAACAGTCGTCAGAGCTGAATCCACCTTTTCTGTAGGTTGATTTGGAGAGGGAAAGCCATCAGTTGGGAATATCGCTGTCGGTTAATGGGGAGCATTTATATTGGGTCATCTCAGTTCATCATGTACTACAAAAAATGAACTAGTTGTAACAAGGTAACTTACTCCGCTTTCCTCTCTGTAGTTTGCCAGTCACATCATTCACAAAATTTTGGCTTGCAAGTACAGCCTATTGCACTACTTGAGAAATAAGTTACGGACACTGAACTTGGACAAAAAGGTCCTATAAACAACTTTGCTCTGTTAAGTTTGCCAGATTTTTCTCTTAAGGAAAGACTTCATCAGTAACTCTGGCCGAAAAGCTATGTAGTAGGTAATCTAACTGCCCATCGGAGTATCTAAATGGCAGGTACAGATGGCAGCTTGGCAATTAAAGGGATGTTAATACTGGAAACAGAACTTGATTGTTGCAGTTTGTGCTTAGCAGGAGTTGTGTCGAGCTCATACTGTCACTATAAAAATTTTGTATTTCAGGAAAACAATCTAAAGACAACAAGTTAACTGTCTCCAGTTCATCTTCTCTTCCAGACCTCTCAGAACCACTCTTCCAGGAATCTTCAAAATGCCCAATACGTGTAGCTTACGCTTACAAGACTTGCTCTAGCTTTCCTATATTCTTCAGTGCATTTCACCGGGCAATATACACCACGCAGAAATAAGCTTTTATTCACAAATCCACCATAAAGCATAGGCAGAAACTAAAAAGCAAGCATGCATATCTTGTAAAAGATATCCTGAAACAGTAACTAATGCCATAAAAGCATACCTCTCAGGTGGAACTCGATTAGGAGGGGTCAGTAATCTATTTACAAAACAAGGCTGCTCCAGACAGGTTGCAAACATCCCCCACCACACATTTCACCATCTACCTGAGCCTCCTTCCAAAGGGACCTCTAGACATAGGTAGTCTCAAAGGAAGAATATATAAGACCTTACTTCTGGCAAGCACTTTGCTTTGCTGCAAGAGTCTTCTGTCATTCCCAAATACCAGTTTCTAAATGATACATAGCACAGCTTTTTAAAGACTCAACAAGTAAGCAGCATACCACCCAAAATACAGGTGAGAAACAGCACAGCAGCGATGGAACATTAGTTACTAACATGCATTTTGGCATTTCTAATTGAAATAGATCTTATCAGGTGCTGTGGAAGCACAGTCTTTCTAGACTCATGCCCAGTAACTCTGTAACAATAAAATGGAACAGAGTTGTTACTTGTACACTTTTTCCCATCTTTAGCTTTGTAGTGTTTTTACTTCTGCAATTTAGCTTTGAAAGTTACTTAATTGAAATAATACATCAAAACAGGTAATCAGCCTTAAGTAAGTTCCCCTCCCCCCACCTTTTTTTTTTTACCTGTGTAACAAGAGGCTCAAGTAGTCTTTCAACTGCCAGTGTTCTTATCTCTAAGCTTTTTGGGTCCCATTTGAAGTTAACGTTGCCTGCAGTAACAGCAGTCATTTCTAGAAGAAAGAGCTACATGAATACATGTTTTTATTATTATTAATGCTGTTAGAATGTATTTTAAAAAGAAATTAAAATGGAGGCTATTAAACACACAACACATCCATTCGGTTTAAGTTAAGGTTATACTGTCTCCAGAAGTATCAGTTTTGATTCAACTGGTAATAGTTAAAAAAATTGCTTGTCATGACAATGTACAGACATTACCTGTATGTTTTGGTTAGCAAATAAACACAAAAACCAAAAAACAACATCAAAACCTATTCAGAAGCCACAATATTTTATCTGAGCAATGACAAGATAGGCAATGATTGGTCTACTCACCAGTGGTCCCCCAGCAATCAAAAAGGACCTCACAGGTAATGGGAGCACTTTCCCCACGCAGCTCGGGGCTAAGCACATAATCCCTTCCTGACTTCTGCTGCCTCCCCTCCAGGGCTGGCTGTCCTGTGCTCCCAGATCAGCTCTTAGACACAGCCCAAGGTCTTGGAGGAGCAGAAGGGAGCACCTTGACTTCAACAGCATCAGAAAGCTGCCAGTTTTCTCAGCTCCATGAGTCACTACCCCAAATACTTTGTCAAACTAGGAACCAGGTTCTAACTCAACTCATTCAACCTACCCGTTCAAACAATTCACCTTTGGATGTACAAATGTCAAATAGCACATATAAGCCTTATAAAGCCAGAAAATCCAGTTAGTTCCTATTTAACAGCTTACATATCTACTATACTTCCCCTTAACATTTACATAGGGGGAAAAGCAGATTTGCATGAAGAGGTCTGTTAAAAGCTGTCACTGAGCCATGCCTTCCCATTACAATTTTATATCAACATCCCAATGCAACAGCAAATATGATTATGGGAAAAGTTTAGTGAAACTACTAAAATAGCTCTGCTTTTAAAGCCAGTAGTTAAAAAAAACCAGAACTACAACAGATCACTAGATTAACACTGTCATGCTGTACAGCACAAAGGAATAACCACCACCATAATTTCAGTGAAAAATGGATTTGAAGTATTTACAGGTCCATAAAACCAGTTCATACCACTTCAGACTTAGCATCCAGCTCTTCCTACTTTGGGTTGCCCTCCAAATTTAAGAATAGACTGAACCCACATTTGTAATTTTTTATTTTTTAAGCAGTCAGGAAGAGAAATACATTTCCAAAGTCTCCTTCCACCCCTTTTCCTATACACCTGCTGTTGAAGTTGTTTTAAAGCTTATTAGGCAATATTTTCAAATCTTGCTCTGGACAGGGCATTGTCTGCATAGCATCTCAGCAGACAGATTGCTCTGGCAGCACCAGATGTCCCCGAGCTGCCAGACAAACACAACGTCCCATTATTTTTAAGAAGCAGGAGGCAAGGCACTAATTTTGGTAACCAACGATGTTTATGACACATACCAACAACCAACTGTTTTACACCAACACTGACAGCTACATGTGTAAAAACAGCACAGACGTGGCTGCTTGTTTCCCACTGAAGACAAAAAAAAAAATCTTTCAGGTACTCGAGAGGCTCAGCCTGAGAGAGTGTAAAGAAGTGAGGGCTTAGCATCACCTGGCTTCAGTAGCAGCACCTTCATGGCAGGCTGATCTCAAGACATTGCACAGGCTGTCTCACACCACAGACACGATACAATAAATTCAGTATTTGCTACACTACTGAAAACACATCTTTGCTCTGAAAAGCCTACACGCTGTCATACGTTGAAGCACAACTTTGCAAGGTGCAAAACCGGAATATTGACCTAACCTGCACTCAGCTTTCTGCTTACGCCCACGCTCCAAGTGCCTATACTGCTGGAGAGGAAGAAAACTTAAAAAGTTGAAAGCTTAAAAAAGAATAGGAAGAGACTGATCCATGCTAGCATACATATAACATTTCTGACTGTTTTAAACAAAAAGCTTGAAGGTGCAATGAAGGGTCCCAGCTCCTGCAGCAGGAGGCATGCCAGGCTGCAGCTCCAGAGACCCCAGTGAGCTGACTGCAGGAGGGTGGAGGATGGCCACCTCCTCTTCCTCGCCCTACCTCCAACACTTGTCATTAAGTCCCATGAACTCACCAACCATCCTTCTTTCCCAAAACACCCCCTTTTTTCTTTTGCTGGTCCAGCTTTGCACTGGCTTGTGCCACAGCCCGGATGCTGGCACAGTGCAAGCTGTGAAATGCCCTTCACCCCCTGGCAACATCCTACCCTCAAGAAGGAATTTTACTGTTTTATTCCACCCTGATTAGCTCAGCGTGAATGCTTCCTACGTAAGCAGCCAAGAAAAATACACTGAAAGCCTTCACGGTTTCTGAGAAACATACCCAAGGCTCTGGAAAGCCCATTAGGTTTCTAGGTAAAAGCTGTTTCTATATATTTAATGCTGTTGTGCCTCTCGCAGAAACAAAGTGCAGGACAAAGTAACAGAGAGAGGAAGCATTAATTGTATTAGTAGAATAATGAAGGCAATTCATCCGAAAACACGTTAGTATGATAGCTCATGAATTGGCCGAAATTAATGGTCTATAAAACCACTTAGTATGAACCTTACTGAAATTTATCTAAAAAGCATAGATTGGTATCAAATACACTGTTGGGTAGCAATGACTTGGGTATCATTTGTATATTGTAGTAAGTATGTTTATTCAATTAAATAGTTGTGAAGAATACAGTAACAGGCTACAGCTTAGAAACACACATATGAGTGGGGTGGGTTTAGGGGACAAAAGGACAACTTCCAGGGCCACCTTAAAGTGAGGCTGCACCCCCACAACAAGAACGATCCTGTTCTCTGGAACCTGTCTTGTCCCTGTGACTGCTCACGCTCTTGCCAAATTCAAATGCTGTAACAGGTAGTAAACCAAGTCCAAGGATACTGTAAGCAGAATGCTTAATCGTGGGCTCTTGGAGAGCACACGATTCCCACGATGCCTGCAACAACTGCAACATAAAGAAAGAGGCCATGCTGTGGAAGACAGAGCCAGCACAGGCCAGGACAGCACTGGTTTCAGGCAGCTGGGATGACCCAGCTGATATGGAAACAGGCTCTCCACGCCACAGGACTACATGCACAGGAGACACAGCAGCACATGCACTCAAAGCAGGAATTTCAAGGACGAAGCAGCACAGACCGCACAGTGGAAGAGAGCAAGCAACACTGAATCTGAAGTGCTGGAATATATAGAAAGACACCACCGCACCAAGTTGTGGTTGCCCAGCCTGTGGTTTCATAACCAGCAGGAAAGCTGCTTAAAAACCAATGTTCATCCTCCCACACCCCTCCAGGAACTCATTCCCATCTTCACATCACACCCCCTCTGTACTGGCACAGCTTTCCCCACGGCTGAGTGATTAACCAGATGGGGAAGAACCGATTTGGCTGGAGGGAAAGAAATCCATTTTTGCAGGGTGGGCTGAGATCCCCATCTGGTTCCCCATGCCACCACAGATACCGCTGCGAGCGGAACTGGCGGTGGCGAGAGGAGATGGCTACGTCAGCTGGCACAGCAAAGCCCTTCAAGCGCAAACACGGGGCAAAGTTGGATGTCACAGCCAAGCGGAACCAGGTGCCACTGAGAACAGAGCATTAAGCTGAGCCGCTGCTGAGCGGACGAACACCCTCCCAACACATCTAATGCTCAGACACGTGAAGCTCCAACCTTAAATCACGCTCACAGTCTAGCACGTTAACTGTAAACCCTTCAGGTTATTACACTGGTGGTGATGGTGCTCATTACTGTCGTAGATGGTTCAAGAGTAATGCAATTATATCTTCCTGGGATTCAGTGCGCCTGCAAGGACATGAGGGTGGGGAGAGAACAGAAGTTTAAAAGAAGCCACTTCCAGATTTCCCCGTTGCCTCCAGAAACTTCACAATTTCCAGCCAACAAGCAGCTCTGCAAGCAAAGCCATTCCAGGAGAACTTGCCCCTTGCTTTATACAAAGAATCAAGACCTCAGCAACAGATAAAGCTCAAGAAGATGTTTCCGTTACACTTCAAGCAAATGCTGCCACAGTCCTACCACAAACCTGCCTCGCGCAGGCACCCACATTGGCACACACCTGAGACACTTCAGGGAGCTAAAATAGTCTCAGTAAGTCAATAGCTTATAGCAATTACCTTGCCAGCCTACTGTCCTGAAGGAGGAGGGACTGCACAGGGACGAGGACGGGACTGCAGCAGCCCTGAGATGAGCTCTGGCCCTGAACTACATCCCAGAGCAGGTCACAGCCCTGAGCATGACGTATTAAACTGCTAGGGCTGTATTTACATCCCACATCGAAGGAGCTGGCCTGCCATGAACAGACTGAAGGGGATATGCATACAGGGCTCTTTCCAAAAGCCACAACTAAAGGTCATAGCATTTCCAAAAACTGGTAATTCAAGGTTTTAAGAATAACTTCAGATACCTACTTCCAGAATACTGGCACACACACAATTTCAAGACTTCGGCAAGCACAGGAATGCAGCTCTGCAGCTTCTTCGCAGAAGTGTCCTGAAGGTACCCAAGGCTCCTCAAAAAGCCCACGAAGGAGCACTAATTCAACAGCGAGCTCTGCCAACAGAACCGTGGAAAGACCTAGTGCTCATGGTCCTGTTTTTCCAGGTTGCACTCCCACACGCACCCAGAGGTAGTGCTGGCTGTATCTCAGGCACTACCAAGCTAGTGCATTCAACCTGCTCTGTACCAGGAGATCCTGCAGCCTCCCGACCTCGGGACCAGAGCAAATCTCTTGGTTACGCAGCAGGAGATCTAACTGCCCACCTCCTGTGTTGCAACGAAGTCCCACCACCTTGTGCTACCTGAAGAGTCATTTACATCCCATCTTCTATCAGTCTTCAAATTTTAGCTATCTTGACAGGCTGCTTTCTAAAAGCTTTTAACTACATTCACTGTTCTCTCTTGTTTTTTCTTAGGGAAGACGGTATTCAAACAGTGGTCTCACTAGCACAGTGGGGGACTATCCTGGGCCAAGCACAATAGACTGCATGCTGAATTCAAGCATTA